AGAGAGAGAGAGAGAGAGAGAGAGAGAGAGAGAGAGAGAGAGAGAGAGAAGAAGAAGAAGAAAGAAGAAAAAATAAATTACTTATTATAAATGAATTTAACTTATCACGTACTATTCAGAATGAATTGCTACATTTTCTTAAATTCACTGATTGATATTAAACTTCTTGGGTCTGTCAGTAAATAATGAACGTTTATGACAGTGCCAACTCGTTCATAACTCCTTTAATATTATTTGTCTATTAATGTATACGTTCGTAGAGATTATTATCCAAATTCATTTAAATTATTATCCTCTATTTATCTATTTCCGCAACGAAAGAGTTGAGTCGAGAATTGTCAATGTCCTAAATCATTTAGGAACGAAGTGCCAGTCATTGTCGCTAATAGGAACAAAGATGTCTCTTCTGGACGAGCATCTTCGTGTTCAGATCACCATTTTGTGGGAGGGAAAACATTAATATGACGAGACACGGACTGCCAAAGACAAACTAATCGTTCATTGTTTAATTATTTTTCCTTTCTTTAATATCTTACACGCAGGAGTCATTGCAGTCCGTGTCTGGTAAATTAGTGGTATTACAAATTGAGTGGCATTAATCATTTAGAGATATATAAATTACACCCGATAAAAGTAACAGCGTGGATGCAATGACAGTGCAAAGATGTTAGAATGATCCTGCCGTGCTAATGTAATTTAATAATATATGTAATTTAAAATATATATAAATTTTTGTATTTTACCTGCACGTAATTGAAGTTGAGTTTTATTTGAACCAGGCTAAGTATCGTATAATTAATAAAACCGTAAAGGTGAAACAGTTAATTGAGTATCATCGAGGAGATAGGTGAAGCACAGCAGGATTCGCTAACCATTGACAGTGATTGTTCTACGAGGTGAATTTTCTTTTAGTTAGGATGTATCATCGGTAATACAGTTGTGCATGCAATTATTCGTCAGGAAGGAAGACATAATAATAGACGGGTTCAAAGGTGAGATCCATTAATTTCGTAACTTCATGCACAATCTTTGCGTTGACATTTCAGCAACGGATTAGGCAGTTCCAGTTTTGACGTCTTGATCGAAGGGTACACTCCAGATGCTGGGAATTAATGAACAACAACCAGTTTTTAAAATAAGCAACAGTAAAAGCGGTTAAGTGGGTAGAAAGATAAATAGCGAGATAAATAAATTAGAAGTGAAAAATATAAAATATTTAAGATTTTCCACGGAAACTGAAATGAAAATATTAAGTGATGTGAGCTGCTGTGCGTTAGAAAAGTTAAATGCCCAAAAATAGAACTACCGCAAAATATGGTGCAACATGCTCTCTAGAACCTTATTCTGTTCTGTCGATGTTTTAACTAATTCAAAGAGAATTTTGGTATTCGATTCTACTTAGAATAAGCAATTACTTTAAAAAAAGAAAAAAATAAAAAACTAAAAAAATAAAAAAAGGAAACAGATTGTATAAAATAAAATAAAGTAAAATAAAAGTGTTAAATTTTCTTCATACGTTGCTAAGACATCGTCAGATATGTGGAATACGTAGAACAGTAAGATGTTCATTATCAAAGAGACTACCACAAACTATTGAAGAATAAATTCGTGTTTTCGAAGTGCATTGTGCTCAAACATCATGCAATGTATAAGTATTCAAAATAAGGGTCTAGGAAACGAATGTACTAACATATCAGGGTTAGAAAAAACATTGACGGGTGTTGTTTTTCTTTTTGTTGGGGAGGAAAAGTTAATGTTTAAAAGGCACTCGTAGAAAATAATTTAACAATCACAATTGTTTTGATTGCGCGGGGTCTCTTTTTCATCACTCGAAGCCACTGAAACCCGTAATATGATTGTAGAGCGACTTCAGGGTACGGTGTGATGCGGGCATGGTGGGCCTTGGTGGCAAATCTGTATTGGTTGTACTAACACCATGCACAACAGTCAAACTGGTTAAAATCTCACTTAAACGCACTTCAATTAATAACTTATCTTCGAGGCTTCCCGGGCAACGGGGAAGAACTTCGTTTTTTGTTTAAATGCAATTGCAAGTCCGAGAACTCAGTTGCAAAATGTTTTCCATAGGAAAAACACTGTCTGTTAGACTAAATGTTTGTTTTCACGGACCAATAATTAATAGTCCAAAGAACACCCACATTAGAACGATCCAAATCACTGTGACAAGTGGACTCTCACCATCTGTGAACTTTCTGGCAATGAACTTCAGAGTTTCGTCGAGAAGTACCACTGGAATGGAGAACTTCATAACGGTAATCCACTCCTCGCCCGTTAGAGGGGTAACTTGGAATACGGACTGAAACAAATAATAATTCACGTTATTATATTACACTGATAGAATAATAAAGGAAGAGTGAGCAACAATTTCTTTTTGTTGCATCTGTATATACCGAAAGGACGTCGATGTAAAGGATGACAAAGTGGAGTGTGAAAGAAAGAGCCATAGAGGCAATGAGCCACATGTTAGACCAAGGCGGCATAGTGATGAGAGATTGATTCTCAGATAAACTGAAAGAAAGCAAAAATAAAAATAATATAGAAATTAATGTAAATTTGAATCTATAGAAAAGATTTATTTATACGGTGTTACCTGTTCATAGCGTTTAACATTTCAATGGTTACAAGTACAGACAGAGCCATCGTCATAGGATGAGGATCCGTGAAGATCTTACAGTTAACGCCCTTGAATTCGTCACCACCACCAAGGCACGCCAAGTGATGAGTCTGCAAATTACAGCAATTAAGGTTACGGTTACATACCAAGGACGTCGTTTAATATAGTAATTACCAATTGGTAATAGTTCATCTGTGGTCCATTCGGGCTGTACAGGAACCACCATGCAGCTGATCCAACAGTTGCAGCACCTACATATCCGCCAATAGCCAAATAGCGGAAGAACAACCAGCCAGAAATAAGAGATTCGTCAGCTTTACGGGGAGGCTATGATATTATAAGTACAATTATAGTTTTTATATACATATATATTTTATAACTAAATAAAATTTGTTTCGATGTCTGTACCTTGCTCATGATGTCCAAGTCTGGTGGATTAAAACCAAGAGCAGTAGCTGGAAGGCCGTCAGTGACCAAGTTGACCCACAAAAGTTGTACAGGGATCAGAGCTTCGGGAAGACCAAGAGCGGCAGTCAAGAATATACTATAATTTATAAGAAAATCTTACAGGTTATTTACATGCATATTAAATGTATTTAAGAGGTGTATTAATACTTTTGCACCTACCTCACGACTTCGCCAATATTGGAAGAAATCAGATAACGAATGAACTGTTTCATGTTGTTATAGATGGCACGACCTTCCTCAACAGCCGCGACAATGGAAGAGAAGTTGTCGTCAGCCAGTACCATCTCAGAAGCTGATTTCGCAACAGCAGTTCCAGAACCCATAGCGATACCAATCTCAGCTTTTTTCAAGGCAGGAGCATCATTTACACCATCACCAGTCTACAGTAGAGAAAGAGAAAACTAAAAATCACAATCTATACTTCCTGGACTGAATACACATCGATTAATCGAATAACCTACCATAGCTGAGATTTCGTTCATACTTTGTAGGAACTCAACAATCTTAGATTTATGAGCGGGTTCCACACGAGAGAAGAGACGAGCTCTGGCGCAAGCAGCTTTCTGTTCTGATGCAGGAAGATCGTCGAACTCACGTCCAGAGTACGACTTTCCAGTCGTGTCCTCATCTTCACCGAAGACACCGATACGTCTGCAGATGGCTTCAGCAGTGGCTTTGTTGTCTCCAGTAATAACAATTACACGAATACCAGCAGCACGACACCTCGCAATAGAGTCAAACACTTCTTTGCGAGGTGGATCAAGCATACCAACGACACCGATAAAGGTGAGATCCTTCTCATAGGTATAGAATTTTGTGGAGTCGCCAAGATCCATATCGTCAGGCTTCATTGGGTGATCAGCAGTGGCGAGGGCAAGACAACGCAGAGTGTCTCGACCAGTACCGTATTGACGAGTCAAGTCTAAGATACGATTTTTCAAAGTAGAGGTAAGAGGAACCTTACTAGAGCCAACACGGGCATGCGTGCACCTGTCCAAGACACCTTCTGGAGCGCCCTTAACGAAGAGTTTCGGTCCAGTGCCCAATTTAGTCGGCTTCAAGGGTGTACAATAAGAGGACATAGATTTACGGTCACGAGAGAATTCCAAAGTGAATTCCTTCTTCCATTTTGTCTCCATGTCTTGTCTAACAGCGATAGCAGCGTTACGCCTGTCCAGTCCGTTCTTGGAAACACCGTACGGGTTGATCTTCTCTGCAAGGACGATAAGAGCAGTTTCCGTTGCCTCACCAACCTTCTCGAATGCTTGTTTGAATTCGTTGAAATCGATAGCAGAGTCGTTGCACATGATACAAATCGTGCCAATCTCATGGAGAGTTTCATAATCTTGACCACGGATTCTCATGCCCTTCACGAAGATTTCACCCACTGGTTCGTAAGTCGAACCAGTGATCTCAAACTCGTGGAAGCTACTATCGTTGCCCTCGATTTTGTCGAAAATGAACATTCTGTAAATAGTATTGGTAAATTTTTAGTGATCGATAGCAAAGATCAACTATTTTCTAAAAGACTCGTGGAGTTTGATCATCCCTGGAGCACAAAGCTCTATAATTACTCGATTTCGCGAGACTTTCTGAATACCGCACTAGATATTCGTTGATACAACTTACCGGCTAACAGACATTTGGTTGGTGGTCAAGGTACCGGTCTTGTCCGAGCAGATAACAGAGGTACAACCAAGGGTCTCGACGGATGGCAAGGATCGCACGATAGCGTTCTTTTTTGCCATACGACGGGTACCCAAAGCCAAACAAGTGGTAATTACAGCCGGCAAACCTTCGGGAATGGCGGCTACAGCCAGAGCAACGGCGATCTTGAAGTAATAGATGGCTCCCTTGATCCAAGATCCACCGTGAGCAGGATCGTTGAAGTGTCCAATATTGATAGCCCAGACAGCGACGCAAATCACAGAGATAACTTTCGATAATTGTTCGCCGAACTCGTCCAATTTCTGTTGCAGAGGCGTTTTGATCTCCTCAGTCTCGGACATCTCCGTACGGATCTTACCAATAGCGGTGTTCAGTCCGGTTCCAATTACCACACCGCGAGCCTTGCCAGCGGCTACATTAGTACCGGAGAACAAGATGTTCTTCTTGTCCTGTTTAACGAAGGAAATATGATTACGATGAAGCCTGTATTAGAAGTATTATCGACAGTACTAACCTGATTGACAGCGCGTGGGTCAGGAACGGGATCCGTGTGTTTGATCACCGAGACTGATTCACCAGTCAGGATAGACTGATCAATCCTGAGGGTGGTCGAGAAGATCTTGGTTAAACGGATATCGGCCGGGATCTTGTCACCGACGGACACCTCGACGATGTCCCCGGGCACGATCTCCTTGGCACGAATCCTCTGGACACCGGCCTTGTCCATTCGCAGGACCTTGCCCATCTCGGGCTCGTATTCCTTCAACGCTTCGATCGCGGACTCGGCATTACGTTCTTGCCATACACCGACTACGGCGTTGGCGATGAGGATGAGCAAAATGACGAAGGGCTCGACGAAGGCCGTGAATGCATCTTCGTGCTCTTCAAATAAAGCTAATACCTGAAAAATCATCCATCCGATTAGAGACTGCTTTTCAATTTTCACTTGGCACACCAACAAATACCCAGAGAGACGAGAATAATGAACTTGGTTAATTCACTTCGGCTTTTTTATTCTTATCTTTTTATTTGCCAGGAAAGGATTGTTTATTCCAAGACAGAGATTCATCGTCGAGGCATTATAATCTGTTGGTTTTGTGGCAACTTGCTGGAATATTTATCTTGATATCTATTTTTATTTTTCAGATACGTTGTAGGTAACGAAAGGGATTTTGGTGATTCATAAATATAGGGAAATTTTCGTACTGGAAAATAGGATATTAGCAGAAGGGAAAATTTGCTCTGGTAAAACATATGGTACAAAGGATACGCTGAAAGCACGAATGTTTTATACATATTCGCGTATAAAGGATATGTAAACATGTAAACACAGTTTCTTAACAGGATCGTCTCGCCAAAAAGCGATATGAGAAAGATTAAATAAAGGAAACAAGAATACATTTATTATCGATTCACTGCCTCGACAGAACAGGTTCGCGACATTTATCTAATCTGTTTATCCAAGGCGTATTTATCAGACGAAACCATTGAACGCAATCAGTATAATTCTTCTTAGTATCAACAATCAACGAGTTGTATAATCTGTTATCAAGTGTTTAATATTTATATTGCCAATAAAGGAAAATTTTTTCAGTCACCAATTTTAAATCTCATCCCTTATAGTATCATCTCTTATATCTTTGTTCCCAAACTTATTCCAGTATATCTCGTTTCTGTATCCATGGACAAAATTTAAATAAATAATTGAAAAGGGAAACTGGGTATAATGGTCTTTAACTGCATGGACTTAAGAAGTCACATATTTAACACTAGATTTACGAAACCCGTCAATTTGACAGGTGGGTTGCTCCAATTATACGATGGTAACATATTTAGTTAACTTATATCAAGACTGTTAATATTGTAATTGTTTTTAAATTAAACTAGTCGTTAAAAAAAGAAAAGACACGTGGTTTCCTTTACCTGTAAATTTGACAGGTAAAGGTCCGTAGAAATAGGTATACAGATAACGTCCGTAAACCTAGTGTTAACACATTGCGTACGGGTGACGAGATATCTCGTTTTCAGGTTTCTTCGACTCAATCGATGATTTAACCGTTTGAGTACCACGGGTCATTATTGTTTCCCAATCGATATTTGCCAAGCGGCGCGATAGCGCTTGTCACATTCCGTGTCCAAAAATGCCGAGCGGCGCGATAGCGCTTCTCATATTCCGCGTTCACCAACCGAGCGCGCTGATTGTCAGCTTCGCAGCTCAGAGCGCTGGCACTTATGGACACAAAATAGAAGAAGCGCGATCGCGCCGCTTGGCACTCAAACGGTTAAGGAATTAAAAAATAGATTTTCTTGTTATGTTACCAGGGTAACGAAGTCCCCCATATATAAAGTAATATTTAAGAATACCTTATGTGAATTTAATACCAAATGCGAATTAAAAAAGTGCATATATGCATCGTATAAAGTGTTCCAGGATCGCCCAAAACGCGTTGCGCGAGCAGAGTGCCGTACGCAATGTGTTAAGACACTTGGAAAGCTGAAATATTTGTTCTCACCTTTAGCATATGACTAATCGGGATACCGAAAACACGAGAAAAATTATTTTTCGCTGCATAAAATAGAATTCTTTCGCTATCTCTTAATTTTCCATATCCTGAACTTTATTTTACAAGCATCCATCACGAATTTCCTACACATGCGTAAGGATAACTATACTGTCGGTAACGGCGACAGATCGATGGGCTATTTTTTCACCTTTGAAACCAGATGTATTTATAATGAATGAGCCTTGAACCCCCTTGTAAACATAGTACGACTTCGAAGCTAACTAATAATTACTTAGCAGCTCGCGGATGAGCATAATACGCTGCTTCGATTTTATTAATTACTGTCGTCTCGCGTCACGTCTAAAAATAAGCAACCATCGGTTGCATTCGATCATTTATCCTCGATAAAATCAACGGTTCAACGTTTTTTCAACATCGATCAACGATTACCGCGCTGAATCAACGGATCCAGACGAATTTTCCCATGTGTTTCCTTTAGTTTATGTTAACCGATGTTGATTTATACCGGACAAGTTAAAGATTATCGTAACCGATAACGGCTCGATCATTTTCCCTGTTAGAGGTAATTTCGAGGAATTGCGAAGGATTCTCTCGGTATTTGTTGGATGTCGTTTAATTATCGATGGATGTTCACTTGGCTGGATTTACTTTAATATCTTACGAACGAAGGTTCGATGGTAGTATCAAGTATGTACGTACAAAAGAAATAATAGCGGCTAATAGAAGAATCTTAACTAGGAGGTCGTCGAATTGCTCCAGGATGAGTTGCCATATAGACTTTCCTGAAATTAGCAAGCAGAAGAGTGTTAAATTTCGCTGTTTCACAGTTTGAAATTTCAGCAACATTCAGGACGATCGTTTCGATAAACAAATGGTATGATAAATTCGGGCACAGTTTGAGTAACAAATTGGCATTTTGTGGTAAAGATTCGGGATTTATAGAGATTTAACTTTAAACTTTGATTATATTTTATTCTCTTGCAATACAAATGCGCGGAGGCTTGAGACTTGCACGATGCGTGATGCAGACGATAAATTGTCGAAAGAGAGTGTGTTCCCTCGAACCCTTCAGCCAGGTTCTTATAGGCCCTATGACGACCCATTGCGTCACTCAGTCTTGCTTCGAAAATTGATAATCTTGATGGTCCCTCGAAGCAAACATAGATCCCGATGCAGGGTGACGCCATTCAAATAAAGACTCCTCTCACAATTTTAAAATTTCGTCGCAAGATTAGCTGTTCACCGAGCCTCGGGGAAAGGGGCCATTTATTCGTCAACGAGATCAAATGGTATAATAAAATCGGGAACAGTTTGAGCAGTAATAAATTGGCATTTTAAAATTTTGTTACGAGATTAGCTGTTTTCCGAGCCTCGGGAAAAAGGGCCATTTATTCGTCAACGGGATTCAGTGACATGGATATTCGTGGAATGGCTGGAAGTCCATAACAAGGCACTCCAACTCCTATCTTTCGCAAAAACTTTCCAATTTAACGTACGATTGAGGGCGATAGATTCGAGCAAATGATAAGGGAGGCAACTATCTAAGAAGCTCCATCAGCTGTGAACGATATAAATTTGCGTATATTTGTAAGAATGGCGAGTGTGGCGTGATCAGGACATGAGGTCACCGCCTGTGACAGTGCTCTTTTGTCTAGGTATGACTGTAAAGCGCATGGGAACGTTTGGACGGGATGTTTAAGGAAGTATCGATTGCAAGGGAAGAGTGGAAGCCTAGGAATGCATCCGAGTGTTTGGGCTACGTGACCCGCTGAGGGCAAGGCTGTGAAGAGTGCGTGAGAAAAGCGTAACTGGGAAAGAGAGCATGGGTCTGAAAGAAGATAGAGTGCAAGGTTTAACCTTTTGCAATCGACGATATTTTGGCTAGAGAAGAGTAGAAATTCAAAGATTCTCTACTAGAAATCTGCTGATACTTTTTTCAGCAGTAAATAAAGAATTGTATAATAATAGTAACGTAGAATTATTTGATTTCGATACCTCGCACACTGTTACATTACATTAAATTTGATATAGTAATTAATATCGATCTTCCAAATTTTATGAAATGGTGACTGAAGCTCACCTCTCGAGTGCAAAGGTTTAAATAAGAGTGCATGGGCGTGAAGCGAACAGTTCGTTGAGTACAGTTCTTTGAGAGGAGTTCGTTGAGAAATAGTCAGTGTGAAAAGTCATAGCGTTTAGAATAAGTCTTAAATTAGTTCACAATAAATCATAATTTTTATTATCTACCATCGTTTTGCTGCCTTAGCCTAAACAATTCCTACATAATAAAATAAGCGAAGCTACTGTACCGAAGAAAGGAATGGTAATTGTGTGAAAAGCTATGTAAATTTCTTGCACGGATCGAGTTTCCTTGTTTCCACCAGTTTCTCCGTTAATTTCAGATCGTTCCATTCAGGAAGGAAATCGCGACGGCCTGTAAAGGGTACCAAAGAACGCCCTCGAAGGCAGAGAAGTGCCATCGACGAAAACAGTGTAACCATGAAATCGACTTAAACGGTCGAGTATGACATTCCAATGATCCAAGAAGGAAATATCGCGACCTGTTGACACCGCGACTAAACAAGGGTGAAAAGAAAACGGTAAACGAGGGGAAAGAGAGAAAAGGGGAAAGACGGCGGAAGCAAGAGTAATCGGGAGCAGGCCGGCCCTGGTGTCCTTGATGGCAAGTGCCTTTTGCAAGCACGCGATTGACGTCACGTCATTCCAACGTGCTGTACAGTCTACGATTTCATTAATTGTAATCTACGAGCAGAGACGAGTGAAAATCCGATTGCCGGCCAATTATAGGAACGCGTTTCTACCTCGTCGATCCATGTCTCCCGTGTTTCTGGCTATCCTCGCTCACCTCTTCCACCATGGCCACTTAAACCTTCATTTGCTGCACTCGAATCTCGTTACGATGTATAGCTCCAATTTCTACTTTCCTCCTCTCTTCTTTTTAATTTTTTAATGAATTAGTTTGACGACCAAGTAATGCATTTTGCATCTCTATTACGGCTACTCTTTCGTAATTACGATTTTCATACATTTTACACCGGTACCCTTTCTTTGTTGGAAAATTCGAATCGGCCTATTAACCGTTTTAATTTATCAAATCAAAAATTCACGTCACAGAAAGGTAGATCTCGTCATTAAAGCGTATTTAAAGGAAGAAACGTTTCATTCGCAGGATCCTAATAACGGATATAAATATAAATATAAATATAACAACGGATTAAAAATTACCCGACAAAGATACGAATATTAACTGTTAGTTACGAAACGAAATTTAAATGAAAAAAAAAAAAAAAAAATTAGATTTCGTTTCTTTAAAAAGAAAAATGAACAAACAGCGCTGGAAAAAAGGTTGATTTCGCGTGGCCAACGGTGACTCGACAAAATGCGATTTGCGACAGCAATATGTCATCGGTGTCCGTTTCGATGGCTCTTGTGCAAGCATCAGTTTCATCACCGTATTTGTCCACGCAATACGGATATTGTTAGTCGATCAATGACGCTCGAGCGCGGAGCAAGAAAGAGAGAAACGGCTTTCCGTCACTGCGGGCCCGATGTCGTGGAATTGTAAAAGAAATTTCATTAACGCGAGCCACGATTGGCAGACAGACGTCAAGGCGAGAATCTTACGGCACGAAATCAGCGGTAACGGAAGCGCGTGGTTACGTGGGACGAAGAATAATGAGCGGCACGAAGCAGCTCGAGCAACTTGGCGACGTTCTCGATCGCCGATTCTACCAGGGAAAGTCGATTTTCCTCGTATTCAAATCGAGAATTTCGATTTCGGAGTTGTCGATTCGCTGCTAAAGCGGAAGGGACAGAGTCAGAGCCGTTGCACGGACGGGTTTCAGGTAATTCCGAAGTTAAATCGAGTTACGAGGTTCGTTTTACGAGCACCTTGACATCGTTGCCGTTGTACTTTCAAACGATTCAAAACCGTTCGAACGTTCTCGCGATTTTCGCGAAAATTCCATTCGACTGGTTTAATGGACGGGATAGGAGGAATAATTTAATAATTTCCAACTATGGCGGACCGTGTATCGATCCTCGCGAAAAGCTTGTACCGCTTCGACGTTCCCTCGTTGATTATTCGGTCGTACACGAGAACACGAAACTCGTGGTCACGGATCTCGTGCTGCTCTCTTCAATTACGAGCAGTTACACTTTACATCGTGATTCGCGTTGCTTCGGACATTAATGGATCATCGTGCTCGTTGTTCGAGGATTTAGCTCATCCCGAAGAGAAAGTAAATAAGGCTTGCGAAAGAAGAAATAAAAGATAGAGAAAACGTTTAACACGTCCGTCGCCTAGCGCGATTCGGATGAGTTTCTCGCGGGGCCCAAATCAGACTGTCGGAGCATCGGACTGTCGGACCCTATTTACAATTTTCCATTTCCGCGCAGCAGGATTTTGCAAATAACGAAACGATAGAACAGAGCAGACTAGGAAAAGTTTTACCACTTGTAAACATATTGACAGATAATTTGTTCCAATTGTCCAAAATCACCTCAAATGTGTTTAGACTGCTTTAACGAATATCATGCGACATAGTATAACGTAATACTTTACCCTAAATATAAATTAATAGAAAGTATAGTATAATGTGTATATTTCTAATATTTTTATGTTGTATATCCTATATTAAATTTCTTTTAAAAATCCAACTGAAGATCTTATTTAACTCGAACAAGAAGAGTCACCCTTATTTTGGGGGACGGGGCCTCCACGGAAGCATATCCGCGGCGACGAACGTGTTAAAGAAATTTTGTAACTGTAGGGGGGTCCTTCCTCCCCCACGGTTGTTGAAGTCGACTGGTCGCAGGGGTCCTCGTGTGGAGATAGTGCTAGAGAGGATGAAAGGAAAAGGAAGGGATGCGTTTGGTTCTGGACCTGCTAGGGGTCCCATCGGTAAGGCTACCCTAGCAAGCCCTGCCTTAAACGGGCATGCTATTGGAAGCTCTGGAAGTTTTATGTATAGGAAGCGGAGGTTTTCCGAGGACTTGCGAGAAAGTCCTCGAGCCTCCTTGAAGTCGGAATCCATCTAGTGCCGAAGGTGAGAATAATGATCGCTACATAACGATAATTCCAAAGAAAAGATCTAAATTCAGCATTACGATCAAATGTATAGGTGTTTTTCCGAATTGAAAATTCACCGAGAATATTCGCAGAGTACTTGGCAAAATAGACCATTCCTCGAGGTTTAGCTAACTAATGTTCCATCTAGAATTTCACAGGTACTCCATAACTGGAGACAAATGTTTCGAAATTGGCGAGAAACTAGGTACCCTTAAACTACGTTCTAGCTAGAACTCCATAACCAGTTCGAAACTAATCCAACATTTCAATTCTACTAACTCTCTCGGACAAAACTCCATCGCTCCTCGACTTTCAACCCACATCGGCTAATCCCAACTCCGATTCCAAGTATCCTTGGCAATCATCCTGTTCTCTGGAGCGGAAAGTGCGAACCATCTCGGGAAACGAGTCGATCCTCCATCGAAGGACGACCTCGGCTAAGGTAACGAGGCATCTTGTTCCTCGAATCGACCATGCGTAGTGTTGACTCGCAATTAAGTGGCGAATTAAATGGCAAATTAAATGGCGAATTAAATGGCGAGCGACGACGTCTACTCCTCCAACTTCTATTTCTCAGCCTCTTCGTGCACATGGCCAACGGAACACGTGAAACGGTAATGAAATGCACACGAAGGCCTGGCCTGCTTCGATAATGACGTCTTCTATCATCCACGGCATGTGCCTTCTTCTCTGGACTTGACTGCTGGCCTAAGTGTTCGATATTACCGTCGCGTTCCGCATTTTCGAAGGCGCTCTGCATCTTTGAGCACCTCCGATTGACCGAACCTTTGATGTCGTTTGCAGCTGTGAGCTTCTTCATCAGTTTAGATGCGGCGATAACTAGGATCGAGTACGATAACGGGGCAAACTGGGTCGTTCGACTGATCGAGACATTTTACAGATTCGTTTGGAGCTTCGATTTTAGTTGCCGAGTATCTGCTCCATTTATCGTCGTAAATTTCATTTCGATGTTTAACTATCTAACGCATCGACGATTAAAAGGTACAATGAGATACCGGGGTCTGGAATAATTAAAATAAATAAATAAATTATCCACTCGCCGTGAAAAGGTTCCAAGAAATTTTCAGCAAGCGATCGTTAAGCTGCAGACCGTGACTCGTAATTTGTTTGCAACACTCGTGTATTATAATGTTAATACTTCCCCACCACGGTTATCAGTAACCAGTGATGGACATTCATGGCTGTTTTGACTTTAAACAAACGGTGCGTAGGGGTCATCTTGGATAACGAGATATTTACTGTTTTTTTTTATTATCGCCATCTTTGTTGTTCCCGTTAACATCTCGATCAAATCCAAACATTTCCCAAACTCCAACCCGAATTTCTAAAAATATTTTTCAAGGTATTATATTACCGGTCGTTTTAAAATCCCAAATCGAGACTCGAGAAAACGTTACAGAACCCGCAATATTCCACCAAGAATGGATTGTTCTCTAGCTGAAAAGAAATTCCTGCAACAACGGAAAGGCATTCTCCTGCGATCCAATCGAACGTAAATCCTCAGGAGCGCTTCATACCTCTTTTGAATCTACCTTAAACCGTCTAGATTTTCCTCTTACGTTACGAGAGTCGAGGTAAAAGGAGGTATATCTACGATACCCCCGATATTCCATTGGCGAACGTAATCCAAACCGAAATTGCATTGGAAAATCCCTGGAGGCGCCTCGAGGACAAACGTGAACCGGAGAACGCGACTAACGAAGAAGCTCGCCTCTTTAAAAATAATTAGCGACAGCTAAGAGGAAGGCGAAATCGATCACGCCTCTTGGAACAAGACCACGTACAAGTGCGTCTATTTTTAGGGGATCGCAAGGTACGCGGAATCACGTGTCGAGTACGTAAACAACGAGAAGGAAGCCTCGATTCTGCATGATCCGAAACCTCTGAGAGAACCTATGACTGCCAGAGATCTGGCATTACACGCTCCGCAACGATGTTTTCTGTGTCATCGTGGCTGACGCGCGATTCGGTACCGTTGGAAGGGGCATTTTCTCGTTGGGAAAACGTCAGTAGTGACGTCGAGATGCAAAATCATCGATGTGGCTAGTGGAGTGCAACGAGATAAGAGTCGTTTCGTACGATAGTTAATGGCCTCGCAAAGCAAGTGGTACTTTTCCTGTGATGCTTTTGCTATTCTTGCTGCACGCTATGTTTGCATCGCGACGCGTGTCTATTTTAAAGGCGAAATATGTAGAAACGTTTCGTCTTGAGTAAAAGAGACCAGGACACACTCGCCTCGGTCACACGTGCACGTGGAAACTGAGGAAACAAGCGCGAAATATTTCGAGAGATACTTCGTCGTGAGCTATCGCGAACAATGTCGCGAGCGTTGTGTATGCAAATTTAGCCAATTAGAATCGGCGAGTAGTACCATACGGAACTATTGTATCTAGTAAACAGACACGTATATCGTTTGCATTGTTCGTTGCGAATCTCTCCGCGCCCCCAAACCGCGAACACGTGGAATCAGTCACGAAATAATTCTATCGCTATCTCGACGAACGTTGCTTATCCCGTAGACGCTTTAAACAAGATCAATGCCAATTTGTTATCAGACGAGCTTACCGTGTCGATCGTCGCTGAGAGAGGAAAAGCTTTCGCTGCAAGAGACTTACCCTCCTCGGCTGGCAATTCTGAAACAGACGAAACGAAACAGAAATAAGTAACCATTCTTCCAACCGAACGTTGCTTCGTTTCGATTTTTAATCCTCTGTAATGGAATTTTTCATTCTCGGTGAGGCAACCACGACCCACCGAGTTACAGAGGATTAAAACCCAACTGGTAGGCTAACCTGTTATAACAGAGTCGTTCGTTATCGTGAACCAATTATCATTTAGGTCGTTTCTAATCCTCGCAAATGCACTGAAATACCACGTAATCGTATTAAGATAATTATATTCCAGTATAATGAAGATATCACGTCCTATATAAGTGATCACGTTGATGGTATCGAGGATTTGCGATCGACCCTTTGCTAACGGGTTAAAAAGCCAGTTAGGGTGGTTCGTACGTGCAATCTCGATGGCTTAAGCCATGACAGCTCGCAGCATCTCCTTTAAGCTAGCCTACTTCGAATTGCTGAAGCACCGTTCGCGTACTGACATCGCAAACAACGTTTTCCTGATCGATAATAAACGCCCTTACATGGTGACGGCTCATCGACGCTCGTTCCCGTGACAACCGATAAAAACTGGTCCAATCTAAAAAGGGGAGAGAAAAAAAATAACGCGAAACTTCCCAATGACTTTTCAACGAAGAAACCATACGATTTCTGACTGAAATTCCAGTCGCTGACGCCTATGATCCAACACGTGCCGCGTTTCACGCAGTTTTAGGGTCCACTAGGGCGCCATCCTGTCGATTGGACTTGATGGACGTGTAACTACTTGCGTACGATACTAAAGGGGTGTCGAGTGTTCTCTATTCGCTAAATTCAACTGTAATCTGTGGAACTGAATATTCGTGACAAAAAAAATACCGTGTCTATAAACATTTTTTTTTACGGAAAAATTTCGAAATTTGGTTTACGTGATTTTCGAGTTGATAATATTCTTTTCCATCTCTTGTCCTGTTTTTTTTTTTTTCTCGTTTAGTTTAGTTCGCGAGAATTATTTAAAGAATAAATGAGTGTTTTATACTAATTTTCTAATTTCGATGCAGATCCTATTGGGACGAGGAAAGTTTTGGAACTCTACGTGTTCCGATAATATTTTCGATGCGTCGAGCCCGCTCTTAATTAAAGTTGTCATAATTTCTAAGAGGCATCACGTAGTTTACGTTTCGGAAAGTAGATACCGGAAGAAATCGCATAGCAACGAGAAAGGTTCACGGATGTTGTTTGCGCGCTCTTTTGCAACGGGAAAGGTAAACGAGACGGAGCTGTGATTCGAATAACGAGTTCCGAAGGTAAACCAAAGGCAAACCCGATTCTCCGTCGCAGTTTCTGCTAGATTCGGAAAATTCGACGCGCCATCGCTTTCTGGCCAGGTCCGCGTGGAAATGCGTGGAAAAATACAAACGAACCCTCGTTCTCCATCGAGAATTCTCCTTCTATGGGGAGACAGAACATCGTGTGTCCTTGGGTTATTCCGTGCGGGGACAGTGCACTCGGTGGTGCTTTCAATTTAAACGGGAAAACTTTAGAGACCCGACGAAAGCACTCAAACTCGGGAAAAGATTATGCAAATTCGATAATCTTACTTCCTTACAGGGAACAACCCTCTGTTCTACAACTTCCATCGTCCTTTTAGTCTTCAACATTTCAGAACTTTACTTGCGTTCCATTTACTTTCTCTCTCTTAAAATCATATCGATTCCCTTACTTTTCTTTACTTCCAAATACTAGTGCAGAATTCTCATTGAAAATAAAAACCGTATACGTAAAACTGCAGGCAAGAAAGGTGAGGAAAAATGATAACTTTTAACATGTTAACACGTTGACTGCCGTGGGGGCCACCGGTGGACCCCCACGGGGCTGTAGCTAAGTCGAGTGCTGCCCACCGGTGACACCCAGCACGAAACATACATTAAACACGATTATACAACTCACCTTATCTGCTGTATATAATATTGCAACATAATAGGCATCGGAGAATCAAAAATTAATAAAAAATAGCGCCATGAGCAAACCACGTAAAATGCGCGTCAACATCTGTCCCTAAGGCCCGCTAGACTTTCCGTACGGCCTAGAAGGGCCCAAATGACGGCTAACTGTGGCGTAAAAGGAACAGCACGTAAAACCGTCGTGACATTTAACGCGTTAACTAATCTTTCGTATTACAATTTTGCTATACAATGTCAATAATTCCTCGAAAGACGAAAAATTAGTCGATTGACAGATCTTACATTGCCTAAAATAACTTCGAAACCAGAAACTATGGATCCATCGCTATCATCCGTATATAACATAGAATTGGATCGCGGTGTCGATAGATCCAACGATTACGCAAGTTTCGTGCAAAGGAATCGTTTATGCGAACGTTCCTCGAGCGTCTGAGTCACCAAGGTGAAGATCGTAGAGTTCCAAAACCGACCATCGAAATGGCTTAGTGGTCCACGTAACCATTTCCCGAGGATTGATCGTTCTCTTCGTGGAAGTTGTAAGAATTCGTTGGAAACGGTAGGAAAACGAGTCGTTGGTTTAACAGAGCTCGAGGTGCATTATCTTCCTTTCGAAAGAGCGAACAGACAGAGAGAGAGGAATGAGAAATGGAACGTGAATGTCACGAATTTTCGAACGAGGAAGTGGCGTGCCGCCAAGAGAATCGGGGTTGTTTGCATTTTGCGGATGACAAAGACACGATGAGATCGGATTTGTGGCAACTGGCCCGAGTCCCGAGGGAAGAAGACCGGCGACTGGTTTGTCGTGGTTGGCGATAGCAAAATCGTCTTTCTATTCCTTGCGTCCTCTCGTGTCTGCGATAATTTAATCGGGAGAAAGTGGAAAGCGGAGGAACGTAATGAAAGGCGTCAGGTGAAACAAAAGAGCAATTTAAAACGAATATATCAATTATTTTATACAAATACAGGATACTAAGAGATTTCTTTAAATTCATTTCATTAAATTCAATCGAGCTTTAAATTGAACAGAAAATTAAAAAAAAAAGAAAAATCGAATGCCAGGGAATCGATGATGTACGCGAGAAAGTGCGAATCGCGTGTTTGTCAACTGTGTACTGAAAACGCAGCAAGTTGTAAGCGGAACAAAAGTAGATCAGTCGCAGGAATTCAGCGTTGAGCGCGTGTCTATATACGCACGAACACGATCGAACGTTGTGCGGAAGTGATTTACAATTTTGAAAACATAGAAAGAAATCGATATCATGGTTGCAAGCGTGATTTTACTCGTGCAAGTAATATCGAAAGAAAATCGGAATCTCCTACGACGACTACGATAATAACGTTCTATTTCTGTTGGGATCTCGGGGATGAAATCAAAACATTTAGCGCGCAGGGAAGTAACCGTATTCATGGATATATAATTATATAATAGATATATAAAGTTTAATATAAGTGAAATATATACACTTATGCGAATATAATACTTTAACAGTAGATTTACGAAATCCGTGAATTTGACGGAAGGATTGCTCCAATTGTACGATAGTAACAGATTTAGTTACCTTATATTAACCCTTAGCACTCGAGAGTTGACTCTCAGTCACCATTTAATCAGATTCTAAAGATCGACGTTAATTAATATATCAAATTTAAAATTACCCCACGATGTGTGGAATGTCGAAGAAAAATAGTTTTACGTCTTAATTTGCATATGATTTCTCATTTACCATTTTAAAAATATCGTCGACTCTATGACAGATAGTATTCGAATTACTATTTTTCTGTAACGAAAAAGTCGTCGAGTGCAAAGGGTTAAGACTGTTAATATAATGTATAATTGTTTTTAAATTAAACTAATCGTTAAAAAAAAAAGGCACATGGTTCCTTTCATCTGTCAATTTGACAGGTGTCCTTAGAAATAGGTATACAGATAGTATCCATAAACCTAGTGCTAAAACCGATCTACACTGTTCCGGATTTGAGACTGACTGCTGCAAAGGACAGCGGGCCCTTTTAAACCCCCAAAACCGACCCCTTGATGCCTGCATAGTATCGAAGGTCCTTGAAGTCCAAAGCTCGGTACTGGCCTGCAACCTCTGGCAGGCCTGTCACCATCGTTGCATGATCGTAGTTAATTTCTAACAATTTTAAATAAAAGCTCGTCACGTCCATTTCTCCAATTTTCAAATTCACGGATTATCCTTCCGATCATCTTTCAACCAGCCACTCTATCACGCGTATCCCACGACCCGTAATATCGTTATTTCCAGTCACACTCCATTCATATTCTTCCGGCGATCGTGAATTCTCGCTTCCCAAGTCCACGTTAATTTCATCCCTTTCTGTGTCACGCGGATCGGTATTCGAATACGCCCGATTCGATATTGGATTACTCGGACGCTTAGAGGCTTTCACACGCGCGAATTACGCCTCGCGGTTGCCACTGCGGTTAACTAACGTGCCTATACATCAACCGCAGCGCGATATCGTCTAATCTGCGGCATAAAAACAAAGTAATTAACCTGTATCCGATTCGATACCGGTCATCCATCATTTTCAGCCCTGGACAGACGTACATGGAGCACTGCTTCGATGAAAATTGAATTTTATCCGGGATTTGGTTAATCCGCGAACACGGAGAGAGAATATTTAATTTTTATCGTAGCATTAGAAGTAGCATTATCGATAATACCGAATATTATCGCGAATCTGTCGGGAGATTTTTAAACGATTTAAAATTTCAGCTACCCTCGACGCCATATGTTTCTCCTTTCAGGTTTTACCATCGCGCGACAGATGCGAGTTCGTGTAATAGGAGTGCGTTTCATTTGCGACCAACCGCTTTTATTTACTCGAGGGACGAGGGTGTTCCGACGCTGGCCCACAAAAGGTATAGTTTTGGCTACCTTCCCTTAACCCAAGTGCCACGCGTGTTTGTATCGGACCGTTTTACTCCCTCGTTGCATCGTTGCGCGACTAGGAGCAATTTGCGCAGAAGAATTATTAATTCCCGGTACTCTCGTCGGAACGGAAGACTACATTCGATCGTAATCTTACAGACGAGCAGAGAAA